CACAATGATGGACAAGAGCACATGTGATATTGTGAATTTAAGGGGTTAAAGTAATAGTGACTGAATGATTCGCCTAGAAAATAAGTGCACTGCATGTGCAAGGCATATATTCTTAACTCCACCATAATATTTTCTATAAAACAATTCAATCTTTATGTACATGACATAATAAAAATATGTGCAATTAGAAGCAAGTTGACCTGTGCAGAGTTAGGTCAAAGCGGTTATCATAAACTCTACGCACAGCAGCCCAGTGGCAATATAACTTCGGGAAAATTGAGCGGCAGCAGTTCATCCACAGTTTTAAGCACAAAGAGAGAAATACTTTCCTGACTTCCCTGCGAAGCAAAATTCTCTCACTAGACTGTTAGGTTCCAAATGCAGAACAGAGGCTTAACATTATCTTTTGGTCCACTGGTGAAGAACTTTGCAATCCAGCCTCTCTTTTTATTTACTTTTCATGGCTTGTTGGTTGGAATATCTGTTAATTACCTATAAGAGCTTAAAACCCACTACACACACTAATGTGTAACATCCTTGTTAAGAAATGAATGGCAAACCAGAATGCATAATTAACACATCTCTCAAATATGCCAAGGACAATGAGAAAGCCAGCTAAGTGTCTGTTCAAATCTTCTATAAAGACTGGTCAGTATGGATAATCATTATGTCTCCATGCATGTTGGAGGCAGATTAACAACTAATTTGAGCCATGGGAGGCTTGAGTGTACAAGGGTTTGCATCCCAGCTAATACCCACCACCAGTCACATAAACTGATTACAGCTCTTAGCTTAGTCTCCTCAATGGTAAAATGAAACTGATCACATTTTATTAGGTTTATTAAGTAAGATATCTATAAAGTGCCTGGCATTTAGTAGACACTCACATTTTTCTTCTTTCCCTATATTCTAACTCATTAAACATTAGTACAGCACAAAATAATTAATTTACAACAAAATGAAGAAAATTGTGTCATATTTTGTTTTAGTGTATTATTACGTAAAATGGGAATGTCCAAAGGATAAACATCTTCAATGTGCTATCCTTAAACTATTAAATATACAAAATGCATTTTTAAAATGGTATGTTTTCAAAATCTGGATAAAATAATACTGCCTACAGGGAGGGCCATTTGTGAACTACTCATTTAAAAATAAAACTCACGTAATTACTCATATGTACTATAATTAAAATTAGAAATTACTTTTTTCACTAACCTCTTATTTTTAATATTTAACACACTTTTAAATTTTCCTTTTCTAAATTTTGAGATAAAATTTTGTAAAATGAAAAAGAAAATAAAAGCTACTTTAGTATATACTTGTTAGATTTTTTCTGAGTATAAACCACATTAAAAATATTTAATAAAACCTTTCTTATAATTCAAAGCACTTAGGTTGAAGGTTAATCATATATTAAATGTGAATTTTAAAATATTTTACACAACAGTTTTGTACTCAAAAGTTCACATATATCAATTTGAGCAAATATACTATTTCCTAGGATAAAAATTATTGAGCCTACTTTGAAATATATATAATTAACTTAAAATTATCATATTGTGAATATACAATAGTATGCTAAAACCATTTTAGAAAACTTAAACTGCTTTTACATAAATAGGTTAAATATTCTTCTTGCAACTTACTGATATTGTTAAATTGTTCAAATAACTACTCTTAAAGATAATTTGTATCCCAATATGTAGCCCAATTATAAAAATTAAACTAAGTGGCATTATTATACTTTCTAAATGTTATGTAGTTTTGTGAAACACAACTAAGTGTATGAAACAGAATAGGAATTATCCATAAAAGTTTTCAGAATTAGTGTACAAAAATAATTGCATAACATTACCCATGGCTAAAAATTATTCAGTTCCTCCTCAGTAGCCCATAATTATTTTTCATGTTGCCCTCATTCTGATTGGTCCATTATTTCCTTATATTTGTTTCATTCATTGTGATGCAAATTCCTTCCGGCCTTATTGCTCTCTTCTTCCCTTGCCTCTCAAACAGGACTTTGTGAAATAAAAGTGCTCAGTAACTGTCTGTTTAACTAAATTGAAGTCTGTCATTACATAATGAGCAGTGTCAAATGACAATAATTCCACTACAATCTGTGACAAAGAAACAAATACAGGTGTGGGAATCTGAATGCCTCATTGTTCGAGCTTTTACTACTTCTTTAGTAGGCATATGCGGTTACCTCATGAGGGTCCTGAAAAGAACATTTGGACTATTTTAGGTTTCCAAGTTCTTAGGAAAACATGTCTTAAAATTTTAATAGCCAGTAGATTTAAATTAAATATTTTGTTCTAAACTTTTTATAAATCCCTTTACTGTATTAAATCTGGTCCTACAGTGCCACACAATTTGTTTTCCACAACTTCGTCTGCCTAGATCTATAAACACTTCACTGATATTATTTTCACTAACTTACATGGACACCATTTTATCTGTGGTCTGACCATTTGTTACTAACAGATAGAGTTTATTAAAGAAATTCGTATGGAAAATAATCAAATTCTCAGAATTTGAAAGTCATTTAAACAATGTCCAACAAAAGATTAAAAAAAGAAAGCTGTGATCAATAAACTACATAGTTTGTCTCGATATTTGGCCTCATGCTGACCAAAGTCAATGATGATGAACATTCCATCCAATTGTTTGACATTAAGCAAATTAGAAACACAAATACTAAAAAATAACATAATTATTGTAGATATATGTAATCACATATGTTGATGCTGCTTTCAGTATTTGGAAAATCTCCAACCAATGCAATGGATAGAAGTATTTCAAACATGTCTTTCTATTTTAGTTATGGAAAGGCTGTCTTAAAATTCTTCACTTATTTTACCTGTTTCCAAAATAACAACTGCATAATTTTAAATGGTTCCTATTGCTATCCTGTGCCTCTGTTTTCTCATCAGACAACCAGAGCTAATATAATTAATTATGTTTTTGAAAAGAGTCAAATCAAATGGCATGTGTAAAATTGCTTTGAAAATGAAGTGCAATTTATAAATATATGGTATAATCTTAATAAGCTTGTAAGATATTATAAGTATAGTATTTTTAAATTACACTACTATAATATCTCACTTCTGTAATTATCCAAGAAATCATGTGCACCCAAATGACTTTAAGCTTCAGCTAAAATCCATGTTATGGAAAATCAAGAATAATCCTAGCACTGTAAGATATTAGCTTTAGATATTGTGCTTATATATCTTTAAAAAAAACTTTGAAATTATAAGACATCTTTAAAGAAAAATGTGTCAAAATGGGTAAAACTCTTTATTTACAAGTTACCTGGTGATATTTAATACTCAGTATGGTAAATTATTCAGTCCTTTCTCATTGAAACCAAGTTTTGCCATTGTACACATATTGGCACAGTAAAATTTTAAGCCTGGATGTTAAACACTTTCAACAATTTGCAGTTTCATGCATTTATATGAGCTGTTAAACAAAGAAGAGAAAAAAGATAAAAACTCTATGTAGAAAATAGAATTTTATAACTACATTTTACAGAATATTCCAAGAAATATCATTGGTCATTTTATTATTTTGAAAATATTACTTATTCAAACAACTAAAAAACATTAAAGCCTAATATAATCTTTAACATTTGAAAGAAGAATCATTGAAAAATATGTAGAACAAAAATTCCATCTCAATGCAATTGATACCACTTATACTGTTGAACAAGTATTATATGAGGTATTGAACATTTCACATAATTATACACTTAGGATTTGACATTGTAGCTAAACCAGTTGTTCAAGGCCACTAAAATACTGAAAGAGAGGATTAAGATTATTAACAGTGGGGAGGAAGAAAACAACTATAAAAGCCCTTCTAACTCAAATCTGGAAATGCTGATTCCACTCAAATGAACATCTCAACTACTAAGAGTTTTCAGTAATTCACAACACAAAACAAGACATTCGCCTCTATTTTTTTATCTTCTCTATTACGTAAATCCAGTGGTGATATAGTACATGTTTCAGGCCTGCGCAGCTGTGTGGTATTTATAATTGTTATGTTTCAGAACTTAGTCCTTACAGAGTTCACATCACTTCTCATAGGTGGATGGCTCTTAAATTTTATATTAAGCATTACTGTGTCTTAGTAACTCCACATAGATCATTTAAAATTTATGTGTTTTAAAAAGAAGCACTGGAAAATGTAGACACAAATAATAAACATTAACTGCTAAAAAGACAATACTCAGTTTTAGGTGATACTCTATGGATTAGCAACTACAAACCTATTAAGTCTATGGCTTCGCTTTCTAAAATACCTATTTTTTTTGCCAGTGTTCACTATTAGACTTAGAATATTTTCTTCCAATGATTTGCAATAAGATTGGGAGGAGATCTAGAGGAGTGAAAAACCTCAGGAAAATAGAAAGTGGTCCACAAACATTTGGCTTATGTACAATAGTTCTGTTGGTATTTTATAATGATAAAGTATGTCAATTTGGAGCATCTAAGCAACGTTTGGAGGGTTAGCCTACTGGGTGAGAATAGCATTTAGAAATACTTTATGTTATATAACACAAAGAAAAGTATTGTCAATGCCAAAGAAAAAGTTTTGTTCAAGAGAGTAACCTATCAACTTTTAATAGATGGCATGACTGTCATCAAAGGTCATTAAAGGCTAATAGACACATTTGAGGTATGGTTGCTTAATGGAGCATTAGATTCATAGACACAACCAACACACAGAGTGAGTATTTTAACTGTCCAGATACCCAACGTGAGATGAAACAAAATGGAAAAATAAATATTTCTGCAGCATTAATAATTTTAAGTAAGCACAATTGTTTTATGCAATAGGAAGCTTGACCAAAATGATAACAGAATCTATATTTAGAATGCAAAGCTGCCACTTACTTAGGAGAATTAGAAAATTGTTTAGTTTACAAATAAATTTTGTTTGAATTCATTTTTTTATGTAGTAGAGTAGACCACTGTTAAGGAAGTAAATGAAGAATTCATAACAGCTGAGAAACTTAGGAAAATTTTCAAGAAGTATAGTGCTGACATAAATTCTTTTCAGCTTTTTCAAAGTTTGCAGAAGTTTATGAAAAGAGATAAATGTTTCTTGATTCTTTGCAGAAGTTCAGTGTACAACACACTATATGCATATGGGACTTCCCTATGTACATATACATATGCATACAGTATCTATATGCCTTTTGTAACATATACACAACTTTAACTCAAAGAAAATGAGCTAACAAAACAGTAGTCATGTCAAGACAATCCAAGTGCTGAAATAATTGACCTTGATCACTTAAAGGCTATTTTACCTCTTACAATGCCCAAGACTAAGAATATAATTTTTCTGTTTTACTTTTCCTTTCATTGCAACACTGATTGTCACAGATAATATTTGTGCTTTTGCATAATGCCCATCCTGGATGTAACATGTAACACACAATATTGGACATTTTAAATAAGCATGCTGAAACACAGGCAGGACCATACAACCATGCACAAAATATTCTGAATATGTTTTTCCAGACTGACTGCAACATCGACATGCACCACTACCATACTTGGTCCTGTAGAGCAAGGAATGTACAGCTGAAGCAAGCATGGCTAGTTTCACTTGCAGGGGTTTCTTTAAAGAACACCCAGTAGAGAAACAAAACCGAATGAATGAAAAAAAATCCCCCAAAACCAATTTTTAAAAAATTCCTCCCACACGTTAACACTGAAAATCGGGCCATTTTCTTCATTCTACATAAAGCAGAGCTTTTCACAGAATTTCTGAGTTGAGTTGTTTTTGAGACACGTATTAGTGTCTCAGAGCTTTCCCTAACCATTGGAAAAGCTCATCTTGGTACAGCATTTTCCAGCGCACATTGGCTTCGACAGTTTCCACAGCTCTTGAGAAAGAGGCAGCAGCTACTCCATCATAGCTCTTCATAAAGTTCTTTAGCTGAAAATAAAAAGTTTTCAATGGTAAATATGTATGTCTTATGAGCTCATCTTCAACATAGGTAGATGAGAATCCATTTGAAACAACATTCCACAGTCGCTATAGAAGGTATACTTAGTATGTGGGGTGAGCTTAGTATTGAAATGCAATATGACTGTGCCCATTAGGTGTGATTTAGTTGGGAACTGAAAGGAAAAACAGAGTGGACATTATGGTTAAAAAGCCAAAAAATCAGCTCTTATTTCATACAACTGTACTTGAACAATAATAAAAAAAGAAAAATATTAAAACAGACATATTTAATTGATTTTTCATAATAGGCTCAGTTCTAAATAGCCTTAGAACTGAATATAAGGATCAAGGTTCACTTTTTGTTTCTAGAGAGAAAATTATTCTTCATCTTCTCCAAATAAGCAGTATAAGGGCTTGACACTATCTTCAATGGCAAGGGAATTACTGAGGTTATTGGGTAGTTGAGGGAAAAAAAGTGAGGACCTAAAAATGGGATGACTGCATTGCCCTCACCTGCATAACACTACTTAGAAAACATGAATGAGGAACGTGGTCTCACTAAACCAGAGAATTTGAACACCAAATTAAAATGTTGTAATTTTTATTTTTTTAATTTTAATTGTTGTTCAAGTAGAGTTTTCTGCCTTTTACTCCCATCCCAGCCCATTTTTTAATATTTTGTCATAATTTTTATGGATATGGGATTTTTCTCTAAAGAGTACATATTCTGGGAATGCTCAAGGATTTTATATCAAGAGTCAATGCTAGCAGCTTTTCCTTCTGTTTGGGATGTCTTAAGAACCTGGCAACCAACCAGCAATTGCGAGGCTAATAGACAAATGTGAAAAATCAACTTGTGACTCAGACACATTATGTGATGTAATTAGTGTGGGGTGTGATTCATCCCATGGCGGGTACCACAGGGAGAATATGCCAGGAGGGAAAGGCAGTGCATCAGGACTGGACCAAGGACAGGGAGAAATGGGGCGAAGGGCGTTTAAAATGGAGTAAATTATAACTTTCGAATTAATCTAAAAGTCAGTTTATGGGTAGCATAGTTTGTTTATGACTATTACTTTAATTACATGATATTGGTGGGTTTTCTCAAAGTTTGTCCTTTACTTTCTTACAAACCACCATGACCTACCACATTAGCAATGGATAATCATGTCTCAGAGCTGTAGCTATTATAAGAATTCAAAATCACTATGCTATTTATAACAAACATGTGGTATCCAATGCACAACTAAGATTTATCAGCACTATTTATTTGACTGAATAGACACATACTAAAGAAAGGGAAAAAAAGGAAAAGACTGGAAATTATTGAATAGCTCCCTTATTTCAGCCATTATGCCACACACATAGACCTATAACATGTACACATATGTAAAAAGGAAGTTTAATGGAAGCACCTGAATGACATTTTTAAACTTTAGCTCATTAATCCCATCATTTGCATTTATATAGATATGTTCAAAGAAATTCAGTCTCTATCTTAGAACAACAAATAATACATGTGGATCTATGTTTTGAATTTAGTGTTTTCATTTATTATGAAAACATATATATTATATTGTATGTTTGTACATTATTTATATAATATATCAATCAGGAAAAAATTACATCTACTACTTATAAAATGTGTTCTGCTTTATTATATATTTTCCTAGGCAGTCCCTGAACATGCCAAATAGTGATAATGACCCTCTGGTGACTTTGACTCTGTGGAGAATGTTGTGGCTTTCTTGATGAGACAAGCATGCTAGCTTGAACACATGAAATAAATCTCTAAGTCCTCCTTAAAGGCAAACAATAGGTTTGAATACGAATGTGCTATTGACAGAATAGCAGGTCAGATTATCCTGCAAAGGAGCACTCAGTAGAAAACATAACCAAGAGGTCTCTTAAATCACGTTTTAAGTGCACTAAATACTGCCCTCGTGAGCTCAGAGAGCCTGAGGTGACTCATATGAATCTTCGGAGTAGCTTATTCATCAGAAGACATCTGGCTCACTTTCCCTAGTTGGCATAAATGGACTTTATGCCCCTTATTTCTCCTCAGCTCTTCTAGCAAACAGGTGGTCAAAGCAGCCCTCTAACTGGTCCTGGGGAGTGATCGCCATGCCTTCCAGACTCCTGCCTCACTTCAGAGGCCATGGGGTAGATGGGAAGCATTTGGCATTTTAGTTTGCTTATTTCTGCAGATCCTTGGCAAGATTTCTGCTGCTATTAGTTTTTATTATTTTTATTCCTAAATATCTATGCTATCTTAGGCTTTTATAGTATAAAAACATTACAAGTTTAGGCATTTTAATAAAGTAACAGTAAGGTGTCAGAGTTCTTCCCCCTGCTCTTCAAACAATAAAATTTCTAGACACCTTTGTCAATTTCTCTATTAAAAACATTTTAGCATTCTATGAAATTCTTGTTTTAGGGTACTTTACACCCTAAACATCACCAAATAGGCAATTATCTATAAATGGGATGTATGCAATGCAGGGGCTCTATATTCTCTACAACAGTGTTCTACATTAGGTTCAAGACGCATGAAAACAAGGGCTGGAGAGTACTGCTTTGAGGACACTGGTGTGGAAAAGTGGCAAGAGCCTCTGATGGTCCATGTGGTTGTACTTCCATTAGATTAAAATTAGGGAAAAAAAGCACTGCCTCATGGAGAAATATCATTCAAATTGCTGGGGCTGTATAATTGCCAGTGCCGGGGCCTAGAATGCAATTTTGAGGATGAGACCATGTAAGAATGTAAGTATCTCTACTTAATGCCCCTAAAGTGATGGGGATCATTCAAATCTTAAGTGAGTTTTCAGAATTCACAAAGATGCTGATTCCCTTTTGACCTATAAACTGCTGAAACAGGAGTGTGCCATATCCAAAGGGAGCACGTTGGGTTTTCTGTTCATGAGGCTCATTGGCCATGGAAGAGTGAGACTCAGCCCCTCTATATTTTTGGAAAGGGGTCATCAGCAATACAAATGAAACCCTCATCCTGCCCAGCAGCAGTGGTCCCTAATCAGACCAACAATTAAATAGTGAAAGGATGAAGATGCCCCAGGCCACAGTTGGAAGCTAGAAAGTGAAGCACACAGCTGTGACGTGAAAGGAGGCACAGCTCACACGACAGGGAGCTCCAGTTGTCAAGTCAGCTGCTTTGCAGGTAATGGATGAACAGTCATAATTTAGTGTCAGTTTTGAAACTGCATGTTTCATATAAGGGTCTTGGAACATTTCCAATGCAATTAAATTGAGTGTAAAAAGTTAATATATAAGTGAAATACATAAAAATCATAAAATGCATAAAAATCAGTCAAGTGTCAATTTAAAAGATGTTTCCCCCCTATGGCCTGATATGACCAAAACAAAAACATATATGAAAGACATGCAAAGTTAGAGGCCAGAAGAAGAGGGAGAGGGGCCATGGGAGAGGCAGGGGGGCGAGAAGCTGAGAGAAGGAAAACAGCAATAGGGAGGGAGAAGAGGGAAAGGAAGAGGAGGGGAAAGACTGTTCACTGCTGCATTCACTCAACAGCTGTACAGGTTGTGACTAAATGAGTCTTTTACTCCCAGGTTATTGAATATAAAATCATGGATTTAAAAGTACTTCATTTAATACAGACAAAATTGGAAACAGTCATTAATTTAATTGCTTCTTCTTTTTGCTTTGTATGAATATGAAGAAAGACCTTCCATTTATCTTCCTGTATTAAAAATATAGTGAAATATGCTGAGACTTTCAAAATCAAATCCTTCAGGGCTGGGAACACATGTAGCAGGGATAAAAACTAGATTTTAAATCATTACCATTGGAGACTTAGCTTAGTGCATGGTGTGAAAGAACCCAAAGCAGTGCATGGGAGATCATCAGACAAAACTGGGCAATATCAGGAGATATTAAGGGTGGTGCCAGGGTTGATGCTTGTGAGGGATGGCTGATCGATGGGATTGGCTCTAGGTCAAAGCATCAGGCATTCCACCAGCGAAACCTGAGGAAACCATGATTCTCAATACATATCTCATCTATGTGATATAGTGTAAGAGAGCAGCAAGCAAAAAAGAAATAGATGTGTGAAGCACCACTCATTTTAATCAATTAAAAGTACCTATATTTTACTCTTTCCTCCTACATACTTACCCCTTCCTATTTCACACCCCTCTCTATTAGAGATGTAACTTGTTGAAACAATAGTTGGTTTCAAGAGAAATAAACCATAGAGAAAAGGAATTGTTAGATATGCCACAAACTGGACACTGGTCCTTAAAAAAGTAAGTATATTCTCATGAATGAAATTTCTTTGTAATTGTGCCATGCATAATATTAAACAAACTATTAATGTCAATAGATGTTGCCAGATATACTCCCTTTGAACATATGAATTAATTCCATTTAACAGACTGAATAGAATGAAGTGTTAGCATCAGATCCAGTTATACATTCTCTGTACAGGCCTGAGCAGAAAGCAGTGAGACTCAAGTTCAGTACCTCACCTTCAACTTTGATCTTCTGTATCCAAATACTGAGTCACTGCGACAGGACAGTTTTGTTATTTCGAGGATCCTAAACTGGATTCACGCATCAGCTGACAAGCAGCTAATTTGATTAAAAATGTCAGGAGTGGGTTGGAATATCCTGTTCAAACACTTCTAGAAGGCATTTAATGTTCAACATGTTAAAAATGTCTTTGTAAAAAATTAACGAAGTAAAGTCTTTAGTATGGGTGAGTATGCTTGTGTGTGTAAGAGAGAGATAAAGTAATGAATATGATTCTGTTGGAAGAAAACAGTTAAAGTTTCATATGTTTATAAAATAAAAGCATTATAAATCTTAAAATATTTACCTCTTTGAGTTCGCCTTCAGTATTAAGAAATTCTGTAACTCCACTGATAAGTTTGGAATTCATAAATAATGCCTCCCCATACCTCAAAAGACAAAAATAAGTCTTAATGTTAATACAGGCAATAATTTTAAAATACTACTATTTCTTGGTCTCTTAAAACCTATTTGAAAAAATAATGATGGCAAAATTCCCTAACCTGGTGAAGGAAATAGACACACAAGTCCAAGAAGCACAGGGTTCCCTAGACAAAATAAGTCCCCAAAAGCCTACACCAATAACATCATAATTAAAATTCAAAAAAAAAGTTAAAGAGAATCTTAAAAGCAGCAAGAAAAAAGCAGTGAGTTACCTACAAGGGAGCTCTAATAAGACTGTCAGCCGATTTTTCAGTAGAAACTTTGCAGGCCAGAAGGGATTGGCAAGAAATATTCAAAGTGATGAAAAGCAAGCACCTACAACCAAGATTACTCTATTTCGACAGAGCTCTTATTTAGAAACAAAGAACATATAAAGAGCTTCCCAGACAAGAAAAAGCTGAAGGAGTTCATCACTACCAAATCAGTATTACAAAAAAAATATTAAAGGGTCTCCTTTAAGAAGAAGAAGAAAAAAGATCAAAATATGAATAATAAATGGCAATAAATGGATATCTACCAACAATTGAATCTAAAAAGACAAAAACAAAATAAACAAAGCAGAACAGAAACACTCATAGATACAGAGAACATTTTGATGGGAGGCATATTGGGAGGATGGATGAAAGGTGAAGGGATTAAGAAGTAACAAATTGGTAGCTACCGAACAGTCATAGGGATGTAAAGTACAGCATAAGGAATCTAGTCAGTAATATTCTAGCAACTATGCATGATGTTAGATGGGTACGACATTTATTGGAATGATCATAGTATGGTATGTAATATCTAATCATTGGGGTATATGCCTGAAATTAGTATAATATTGAATGTCAACTGTAATTGAAAATTAAAAATAGGAATACTACTATAAAGAGTTTTTACAATCCTTCTCAAGGGTTCCATTTGACAAGCGGTGTCTCAATGCCATCCAGATTTCTGAGCATTCAGGGTCACTTCTCCAGGGAGTCAGGGAGATGCAAAGAGCTGTGGTTATGAGATACCAGCAGATGACACCTGATTTGGCTCACAATATTTAAGAGAAATATGAACAGCAGCAAATTTTCATAAAAAGGAACCCCATAAAATTAGATGCAAGAATTACTATTATATTTCAAATCCAAGGCCAGAGGAATAACTATTTTAAAACTGTCAACTTTAACCTAGCTCACCAGGAAGAACAATCCCAATAAAGGAAAACGGGGCTGCAAGATAGATCTGAGCACTATCAGTACATCACACAGATCCTTCGGTCTAGTCAGTCAAAACTGACATTGGCATTCTCGTTTTCCATGCTTAGAAACGGAGCCAAATTCCTCAAAAATGCTTCTAAAAAGAATACCATTTTTTCATGTCTGTATTAAAATAAAATATCCAGTTGTTCATTTGAATTGCATAATTCTTCTAACACAAGCATAATTACTTGACTCATGGCCCAAGGCAAGAGTTTTCACTTTATTGATTTGTCTATTTTATGCTAAGTATACCTAACATGAACTATCATACTCAGAACTAAGAAAAATGCACCAAAAATAAATTTTTGGACATGAAGATCCAGACATGGCCACAAAACATTTTCTAATGCTGCTCTTACTTGTACAACTTGACATAATTTAGCTGTGGAAGCCTCAGTTTTCTCATCTGTGAAATGAGAGGACTGAACTGGATGACTGCTACAATTTGTTATAATACCAACACTGAATTATTCCATGAGAAAAAGTTAGCTAGAAAAGATGGAGGCGTAGGTGGAAGCACTGTGCCTTCTCACACAACCAAGTTTAAAAACAACAAAGTTTAGCAACAAAAACGCAGCCAAACCACAGAAAATTGAACTACGTGGAAGTCTGACAACAACGAACCCCTCAGCCAAACCAGTAAGAGGGGCAGAGTCAGCAGCAGAGTGGGGTTGGGCAGGAAAGATCCACCGGACCGACCTGGGCAGGCAACCCAGGTGCACAACCCAGACACACCGGCAGCTGTAGGTGGATCCCAGGTGTGGAGTAGCAGGCGGACCCACTAAGGGCGCAAGGTGGTGGACTCATTGAGGGCTGACCACAGTCACACATTCGAGCGCAGATAAATGGGTGAAGGAGCGAAGTGATGAGACAGACCATGCAGGCCCCAGTGGCAGAAAGTGGCGGAGGGGACTGCCATTGTCCCTCTCTGACCCCGCCCACACATACAGCGTCACAAAGCAGCGACCTGGGTGGCCCCACCCTGGTGAACAACTAAGGCTGCACTCCTCACATGTAAGAGGCATGAACAGATCAAAACATGGCTCAAGAACAACTCAGAGCCCCAGAGCTGATAAATCTAAGCAACGAAGAAATAGCCAAACTTTCAGATGCACAGTTCAAAACACTAGTGATCAGGATGCTCACAGAACTGGTTGATTTTAGTCAAAAATTAGAGGAACATATGAAGGCTAAACTAATTGAAATGAAGGGAAATGCACAGGAAACCAATCGTAATGGAAAGGAAACTGGGACTCAAATCAAAGGAGTGGACCAGAAAGAGGAAAAAAATGACCCAACAGAAAAGGATGAAGAAACAAGAATTCAAAAAAATGAGGAGAGGCTTAGGAACCTTTGGGACATCTTTAAATGTTCCAACATCTGAATTATAGGGGTACCAGAAGGTGAAGAGGAACAGCCACAAGTGAAAAATTTATTTGAACAAATAATACAGGAGAACTTCCCCAATCTGGCAAAGGAAATAGACTTCCAGGAAATCCAGGAAGCTCAGAGAGTCCCAAAGAAGTTGGACCCAAGAAGGAACACACCAAGGCACATCATCATTACATTAGCCAAGATTAAAATGAGGGAGAGAATTCTAGAAGCAGCAAGAGATAAGGGGGTAGTCACCTACAAAGGAGTTCCCATCAGACTGTCAGCAGATTTCTCAAAAGAGACCTTATAGGCAAGAAGGGGCTGGAAAGAAGTATTCCAAGCCATGAAATCCAAAGATCTACACCCAAGATTGATCTATCTAGCAAAGCTTTCATTGAGAATGGAAGGACAGATAAAGTGCTTCTCAGATAAGATCAAATTCAAGGAGTTCATCATCACCAAGCCCTTATTATATGAAATGTTAAAGGGACTTACCTAAGAAAAAGAAGATAAAAAAGATGAACAGTGAAAGGACGGCAAACTCACAGTTACTAAGAACCACACCTAAAACAAAAGCAAACTAAGAGGGCAGCTAGATCAGGAGCAGAACCATAGAAATGAAGATCACATGGAGAGTTAGCAACAGGGGAGTGGGAGAAGGAGAAGAGGGGAGAAGGTACAGAAAATAAGTAGCATAGACGGTAGGTAGAAAATAGATAGGGGGAGGGCAAGAATAGTATGGGAAATATAGAATCTAAAGAACTTGAGACACGTGGTCATAAACTAAAGGGGGGAATGGTGGGGGAGGGGTGTACAGGGTAGAGGGGAATAAAGGGGGGAATAGAATTCTAATGGCATAATCAATAAAATATATTTTTTAAAAAAGTTAGCTAAATAAATATGCAATCAATAATAATATAAGTGATATTCATAATTGCTGTGTGGTTAAAGAAATGGCTAACTGTACAGGAATAAAAATAATTCTTTTTCCAAGATCATTTTGCTTATACTTTGCTTATAGTCATGTAAAGATGAATAAGGCACCATCCCTTTATTGCAGGTATTATACTATATGGTATTGTAAACAGATAATTTCCATTTATTGTGGTGATCATAAAATGATACACCTTGGTTAGAGGAGGTCTTTTTTTCTGTAGGCTCTTGAGAAAGGACTTGAGGACAGGCTGGCATTTAGATTGAGTAGTAGTTGTGAATATCAAGGAGGAAAGTAATTTTAGGCAGAGTACCAACATAAATAAACTCAAGGAGGGATGAAACAACATGGTGTTTGCAGACAACTACAAGTATTTGGTATTGAGTGTATAAATTGGGAGGCTGGGAATAGCAGAACAAGAAACCAAGGGGTTAGTCAGAGGGCATGCTAGGAAGCTTAGACACAGCAAAGGTTTTACATCAGGGAAATGTCACACTTGTTTCTCAGAGTGGTTCTTGGGACAAATGGAAGGGGCTACTGTGTACAGTGTGTGTGTGTGTGTGTGTGTGTGTGTGTGTGTGTGTGTGTATGTGTGTGTGTGTGTGTGTGTGCAGTGTGTATATAATTGGAGAGGCAGAGAGATGAAAAACTATTATTAACAGTGGTGGTAAGAGATCAGAATCTGCCCTAAGGCAGTTGTAGTGGAGAAGAGACTAATTCAAGAAACACTTAGGAATTGTTAAATTGAGAAGACCTCAAGACTATTTGTTGCATGCAACAAGGAAAGATCATATGTAGATTTCTAGGTATCTGGGTTGAGCAACTGCTGGGTAGTCACATTGTTTGCTGAGAAAAAGGGAGAGATAAAGGTGGAATGTCTGAGTTGGAGATAAAGATCTGAGAGTAATTGAAACCATGAGAATAGATGGCAACTAAACCCAGGGAGATTCTGCAGGGCAGGGCAGGGCATAAGGGAAACTTAGAACAGCATCCCCATGAACTCAAATATTCAAATATTGACAGAAGAGTAGGAGCAGATGAAGACAATCCTATTTGTTAGATAAATACCGCCATAACTGTAGATATGCTAAAACCTTCCTTAACCTTTCTACCTTTTGATTAGAGATCATGGATTCTCTGGGACAAAATAGGCATCTCAGGAACTAAACACTTTTTGGTAGGGACTAAATTATAAATGCATTACAATTAACTCTGATCTACAAAAGCACTCTCTAAAGAGACTTTGTGTGTTGGTAAATATTTAATATTCTTTATAATAAAATGCTTGCATATATTAATTTCACCTTGTATCTAAGCTATTCACTGTGCTATGTGCATGACAGCACAGCAAGTTCTAATCTTCCAGTCATCCCAATTTCTGAGCTGAAAATACAAAAAAAAAAATGTGCTTTCTGGAAATATCACTGCTTTCTGACAACAAAATATCTGTTAACAGAAACATGTTTTAATATGACACATTCATTCAAATTACGCTTTTTATACCAGGACAACTAATAAAGATATACTTTCAAAGGTAAACACCAGTTATACACCAGTTATTAAGGAACAGAACAGTAAGGTCTGCACACTGTCTGGGGACATTCAAGTCTGAGAACATGTAGTAGCATTTACATGCCTTATAATAAATTAAATTTTAAAATACCACAGAGATTATCAGAGTAATAAATTAACATTTATTACAATATATTTAAATATGTAAGAAAATATTTTCTAAAATTGAGGCTGAAAAATTCTCACCACGAAACAAGATAGCTTGGGAATGAATTATATTGAAACTAGAGTTATACAATGTTCAAATGATCCTTCTTTATATCATGGTTTTATTTCAGGTATTTTGTGATATTTATATTTGAAGAGAACCTAAAACAACTCTGCAGAAGTAAAGTTTTCTTGTTATAATATAATTAATCTGACTGATACATCATTTTTTATAACACATTCAGGATAAGGGTTTAATGACAACAATTTCTTCAACTTTGGACAGTTTGATAGATTTCCAAAGGAAAATTATACTGCTAAAACTATTTACTCTCCACATTTCCATGTTATTACAGTTATCAATCTTTAATAAATTAATAATGTTATAGAATTGTTAAAAATAATTCTGAGTTTAATAGTTATGGCAAGACGCATCTTGGTTGACTTTTTAAAAATCTAACTCTATTATCTGGACACAGAAAGTTGGGCTTTTATCTCCCATGTCACCTTTAATTTACTAACTCAAGCATGAATGACTGAACTTTCATATCTACCTGGTATTTAATATCTTCCACTTATCTCTGAAAAATTTCCAGGCAAGGTCCCGGCCATGTGGATTTCGAGCCACATGGATTATCACATCAATTGCATCCTGGTCCAGCACCACCTCTGAGTTCAGTGACAGATTCAGAAGCCTTTAAAAACAGAATTGTGGGGAAAGTTTTAGTCCAATAACATAAATATTTTTATAAAATTACATAATATAATTTCTCATATTCTTCAAGAGAACAGTCCAGAGTAAACTTTACTAACATAAATTAAACAATAGAATCAGTTTCTGGTTATAAAAAAGGGGGAAGATTAAACTCGTACTATGTTCATTAGCACATTAATTATATATATCGTGAAAAAAAATCTTATGAGTAAAGAAGTCACAATGCTGGTTTGATAATGCAAACTTCCTTTTAAAATCCTTTTAGTAAATACTTTTTTATATGCTGAAATATTTTCTTACATACATAAGTAAAACATATATTTAAAAATTAGTTAGAAACAAAATCCATCTTCCAAGTCAACTAGCTTCAGATATGTTAACCCATCAGCTTTCCTTAGTTCTAGGAATATAAATTTTATAGTAACTAGCAATATATTCAAGGAAATAGAGTAAATTTGAAAACAGTTTGGTTAACAGAGAATGTCTTCTTTTTGTTTTTATTAATTGATTTTAGAAAGAAGAAGAGAGAGAGAGGAAGAAAGAGAAACATCCATTTGTTTTCCACTTATTTATGCATTCTTTGGTTGATTCTTGTACATGCCCTGACCAGAGAGCGAACTCACAACCTTGGCATGTCCAGATGACACTCTTAACCAACAGAGCTACCCAGACAGGGCAAGAGTACTTTCATTAGACAAATAAATTTGGAACATTAATTGACCCACCTATTTAATAAATTTCTGTCATCACTGCAAGTTAAGGCTTCCAATAATATTTTCTTCTCAGAAACTGCTGTGGTGGAGTGGAATTTCATCCATATGAATTCCCAGACATCCTCATCCAGCAGTGAAACTCCAGTGCAGTACACAATGTCTCTAACATTTAGAGGTATTCTAAGGAAGCAACACATGGCAGTTTTGTGTTCATTAAAAGCTTCATAGTATTGAAAATAAAGACAGATGCTGCTTTATGGCAGTCAGTTTCTTAAAAGACAACTTTGTCAATTAGAGTTTATCTGAACAAGGATAATACTATACAATAACAATATTCAAAAATATTGGCAACTAAGTAAATAAAATAATTAATGTATTTTATTTAAAGGTAGTTTTGAATAAAATTTTTCTACCCTTGAAACTATATTTAAACAATAACTGGAACACAAAAGTTTAAGAAACCAATAAAAACAAAGTGTTTTATATTTTCACCCACATAAATAGACTCATCAACCAAAGATTTTGCTCATAATTAGTAGACCCAAGAGTGACAAGAAAGCACTGATTAAAAAGAATGACTGACTAATTTGGGTTAAACAAAAACACTTTTCTCCTAAATTCTTAGATAACTTTTTAAAATTATTTTTCTTAAATAACTCCAAATTCTGTAACCTAAAATATTATTAATATGGATAATAAACAATAAAATATAAAATCTAAATTTTTATAAAGAAGTTTTCTTCTGTGTTTAAAACAGTTAAAAATACACTAAATTTTTACTTTGACTCTAAAATACAGTGGGAAACTGTTAGTGTAGTTAGTCAATCTTGGTCATTTATAAGTTATAAATTCTCCTATGTACTTGCCATAGCAATATTTTACTAAATATTCTTCTTTCAAATTTAAATATATGAGGTCTGTCCAAGAAATGTCCAGCCATTGTTAATAAAATGAGAATGGTTTGCATGACATAAATATAACCGGACAGCCAAGGAGAGTGGACCGGAATGCACATGTGTGAACAACAGCTTCACTCTACTAGTCAGTGGGGGCAGTAATGCCAGTGAGTGAGCGTGTGTACTGTGTAGCCGTCACATTCAAAATGACTGAGCAAGTAGAGCAATGAATCTACATCAGATTTTGCTTTAAACTTGAACATACCTCCATGGAAACTATTTGGATGATTCAGAAGACCCCAGCTATGGGTAACTGGTGATTGGCAGCTTCATCATGACAACATCCCTGCTCAATGCATCATGTCTTGTGCAGAGATTATTGGTGAAACATCAAATCACCCAGGTGACTCAGCTCCCCTACAGCCCAGATTTGGCACCTGAAACTGCTGGCTTTTCCCAAAACTAAAATCAAATTTGAAAGGGGAGAGCTTATAGACCATCAGTGAGATTCAGGAAAATACACAGGGGCAGCTGATGGTATTTGGGAGAACTGTGTGAGGTCCCAGAGTGCCTAGTTTGAAAGGGACTAAGGTGTCATTGTCCTATATACATTGTTTCTTGTATCTTCCTCCATAAATGTCTCTACTTTTTATAGTACATGGCTGGATACCTTCTGGACAAACCTTGAATACATCACATTTTAAAAATTCAGTTCTCAGAAAGAATGCTCTAATACTTAAAAAAAGTTAAAATTCATATCTGCTTTGTGCATTCAGTAATCTATTATTAAAATTCCTCATTTATCATTTGAATGTGACTAATAATAATAAGTGCTTTCTCTGGAAAACAAGATGAAACAATCCCTTCCAAAAATTTCGGACGTGGATGGTTAAAATACTTCTGTGGTTAAAGAAGCAAATTGGTAAAAGGAGAAAGTGTCTATTTGACTATCAGTAGAATGATCTCCATCTTCTGCTCAGCAGCTGAGTAGGGCTACATTCAGATTCCTGTGGCGTGTGTATCAGGACACCTGATCAGTGGAGTTGTTAGAAGTATCATACAAAGTTCATGGTTCCCAGAAATAGCTAAAACGGTATTATTCTATCTCTTCCTACAAGTAAAGTATTTGGAAAAAAAAGTTACTTTAACTTTGCTGACTGAACCTTTTTTGTTTATTTGATTGATTAATTTTTTTCAAACAAAAGGAATAGAGATAGAAGAAGAAACCAGCAAAGAACTTCACATTTTTCCTTCTTTTCCCTCTTAGCCCTGCACCCCCTTAAAGAAAGTAGCAACAATTGTCTTCCCAGTGATTGGTGAAACCTTACTCTTCCTGCTCTGCCTATTTGCCACACAGCACGCCTGAAAGTGCTTAGGATAAAAACACTGCCACCACATTTTGAAGACTTTGTCAGTCCTGGTAAATACAATATAAAGTCACAAAAAAGGCCTCCGTGTTTACTAAGTGAGATCAGAAAGCTAAAACATCTAGTTTTTCTCTAAATCAACAGCTAAAAAAGAGAGTGAGTCTTTTCTTCCAAAAATTACAGGCTACAGAGCATTACACTGTATTATTGTCATGAATTTGGCCAAGAGATCAGCATAAATATTTGCAAGAAATAATAGTAAAAGTTATATTGTAACCATCAACTTACCAACCATTGCATATTTTATTAATATTAGACCTAACAGTAACAGTTTACTTTCTAGGAGAAATTCATTAAGCTAGTAATATACCAGAGGGAGCCAGAGAGAGTACAGGAACAAAGTCTATTGAATAAGGTTGGTTACTGCCTTTGAAACCGTCTCAAGCAGAAATGGTTTCAAGTAGAAAAGGCATACAGAAATATAAAAAGGCAAAAAGAAAAACTGAATATTAAACTATGTTCCTTAGAACTAACTTGAATGACACATACTGTAGTTACTACCAACAATCCATATGTTTGTTACTCAGTAGTTACTATTGGCTGCTGCTGAACCGTGTAAGATATATATGCAAATGAATAAATGGATGGAGATCCAAAGCCCTGGACACTGGCTAAAGGGGCATCAGAGGTAGATAATAACGCTTCTGTGCAATACTGTGTTTCAGGTTACACATCTCATTTTATCTAGTCTCAACAATAATACCACGATGTCTCTATTATAAACATTTTTTAGCAGGAGAGGAAACTGTTTTGAGAGAAGGTGTTTGCACTGTTAACAACTATATAGTAAGTTGGGAACCGGGATGATCCATACATAAAAAGCCATTTTTATTTACATCAGCTTACAATAGCAATGAAAATAAGGTATATTGATTTCTATTAGTAGTCATATTCAAGTAATTGTCAATGAATTCTGATTTTTGTTGTTCAATAGAACACTATCTGATTAAAAAGTAAAAACAAGGAAAAAATAAATAAAAATTAGTATATCCTTCACAAGAGTATTATCACCAACCCCTGGGCCTACCCAATGAGCTGCCAATCATAATGCACCTATAATTTTCAGTGTTGAATGGGCCACAGATGTCACTTCTAACTTTTTCTTTCATCATTATTTCTTATACACAGCTTAATCATTCATCTTGGAGACATGTCGGTGAGACTATCTACTCTGCTGACAATAGCCAGAGGAAAGGGGGAAAGGGGATAAAGGGGGAAAGAAGAAGTGTCAAGTCATGTAACATATATAAATGACCCAGGACAAAGATGACTGGGAGGAGGAGAGAATTGACTGTGGGATGGTGGTGGGTGGGGCAGGGGAGAGTGTTGGGGGGAAAATGGGGACCAGTGTAATTGAACAATAAAATAAATAAATAAAATGTAATAGCTCAAAAATATGCAGATAAATACATCAATATGCTTAAAATCAAAAAAATTGCAGCTATTCTGTTCAATGGAAGTGATCCTTGTTAAAATGCTGCCTCTGGCACATTGAAAGCATATAGGCTAGCTGTGTATTTAAGAATATACACAGAGAGAGGAAAAGGAATACTTAAAGGGAACAAAGCAAAAAAGTATTAAATGAAATGACAGAGCACCCTGAAAGAATCCCACAAAAGTTGTCCTGGACAAAGGAGGCCTTTGAAAGCAAAGCTGCCCAGAATAGGGGCAGGTTCTAAACCTGAAGCTGCAGCCATAAACCCAGAGAAAAACTTTATCATTTGGATGTGATCTGCAAGATAATGCAGGTCAAGTTACAGGCTATCAGCAGCTGTCCCTCTGTGCACACCAGGTGCATCAAATTTGATTACTATGAAAATGGGACACAGATATGTTTACCTATATAATCTAAAACCTGTTGATTGTCCATTGAAAAACAGACTTCAGTTTCTACTACAAATCCCCAAACTCTCAGGAAGGAAATGGCTCTCTTAGCGGATGGTAAGAGGTTTGCATTGCTTAAGGCTAATAAAGCTCCTTAGAAGAGCAAGGACAGAGCTGGTTAGTCTAGTGGGAGAAGAACGCTTCTTTAGTTTTCCTAGCATCTCTTCCTACCTCCTCAACCCCTCATTTTCCTCATCCACCCATCATATAAAGAATCAATGCATAGGTCAAAGATTATTTGTACTTATCACTGAGAATAAAATAAAATTTGTGAGTGCTGCATTTGCCAAGGACCCTTGGTTTTCAATGGTTTCCATTGTTAGTGAAATCTCTCTTTGTTGCTAAATTCGTAAAGATGTTCTAATAACATTTTAGCAAAGTAATTGCTCCGGGGACAGTTTAAGATCTCCCTGTATAAACCAAAGTCATTAGGAACAAATGAAAAAGCTCATTTGTTTGTAAAGCATAAGCTGATAAGCCCACAGAACCCATAGTTACGATCAGTACAAATGAGTCCTGTGAGATTCTTGGTGTCAGGATTACAGTGAGAGCAGCCTCTTCTTGCAAACATGTAGATTGTTTATGAAAATGTGAATATCCCCATGGTCATTCCCATTTAACTGCTGCCTCAGGAAGAAGTAAATCTTTTAATGGAATTTCATCATCTAGAAAGGAAAGATGTGCTTCTTTTTCTCTAGGTATAGTATACATCATACACACACACAGGGAGCCAGTTTTTTCCAGCTGCCTTTAGAAGAGATGGATAGGGTAGGGATTAGCCTAAAGGAAGTGTCTTTATTTTTTTTCCTAGGGTACTAACATTGCAGAAGTTATTAGCTAATAAATGTAACTTTTACTAGACTTTGTATTTTATTCTCTATTAAAATAGGATTGTGACAGAGTTCATTTGTACAAACGAGTTTTAAAGCATAAAAGTTCAGTATATCATTGTAAAAAAATTTATTTTTGTATT